CAAGTTTTGTGCAAAAACGCATGATCGCTCCGGCTCGCCTGGTGCGTTCCAGCCTACGTTCATTTTTTCAGAAAGCGAGTATTTGCCGGAAAAACGACCAGGTTTCATGCAAAAAACTGGTAATCATGTATCTGGAGGTCCTTGTGGCTCTATAATGCACCACCTTCATCCCAACTGGCGTCCTTCTCCCTGCATGCCGGAAAGTCAAAGCACGGCCAATATGAGCCCAAGTGTTAGGCTACGGCGTAGGATCATTCCTGTTAATAGCGGTTCGCGAGTTTACTGCAGAAACGCATGATCGCACCGGAAAGCCTGGTGCGTTTCAGCCTGCAAATTTCACTCAATGTTTTTATTTCAGTAGTCAGAATGAGGTTAACCGTGCTGTATCTGAATCTATCTGCACAGGAACAGAGTGGAAATGTAAACGAACACTGATGAGCAGTGGATGCTTTCTCGCGTAGTAGTACATGAAATGGCTGGTCTCCACACATTTAACAGTGCCACATACCAAGTTTGAACCGAGACATATTTCTGCAATCGCAACAGAAAAAAATTGAAATAAAATTTATGAAATAAAATTTCGAAATAAAATTTCGAAATAAAATGAAATAATTATTTTATTTCATTTTATTTTATTTCGCGTACGTATGAAATAAAATTTCGATGACAATGCACATCAAAAACACTTTTTAGGCTCTTTTTCTCCTCTAGGAAACCTTAAAAGTACACCTCCGGGTGTTCTTTGATCATACTTTTGTTCAGTATGCGCCAATGATGACACGGTAAACAAATTCAGTGTGGTGACTCTGTACTGTTGTTTTGGATTAATTTATGCTGCTGCTTAGCAGTAGATTGGACAATCCGATAGGCTTAATTCAGGACCGCGTTAATTTTGTATACTATATGTTGTGCGGGATTGCTTGAGGTAAGGCGAAAGTAAACGGTCGCATATGTCTAGCATCCATTTATTATGCGTTTTTTGCATCTGTGTAATGCAAACGCATACTGTCGAGAGGTTGTCTGTGTGTGTGTGTTGTGTTCATCTGAACAGATTTTTCATTTCGAGACCTACGAAAGCTACAGGGCTGGAACTTTGGGGACTTAATTTACAAGCATATTC